CAAGAATTCCAGGTCATCTTTGCAGAGATTTACCCAATATTCTAGCAATGTCACATTAGGACAAGTACATCTGTTATGATATCACTGCATTTTTGATCTGCTGTTTTAATTCCTCAAATGAAGAACATTGTGGAAGTTACTTCTGCCCCTTTGGAACAAAACATTTAGCCTCTTCAGATAATACAGAGATTCCCCAAAAGCATGGTTTTTGAACTAGTAAAATTGTGGTAGGGCACGACTCACCATTGCATGGTTTTGTCCAGAACATGGTAGCCGGCACAAATAAAGAGGGGCTAATTCCACTATGCTGACTGTGGCTGACTTTTCCTACAGTATTGTTTGTTCATAGCTATTGACACTAACTGCAGGTGTGGACCCTCACATGAAAGAGTATCAGGGAATCAATCTGCCATTGAGTATGTGCTGAAAAATAACCACAGAAGTCTGGACACAGAGCTCCATTTGTTTATGTGTGTAGATGTGTATAAGTGAGGGTGTATCCATTCCCAGAGTCTCATTAGCTTCTTTAAATATTTGTGGTGTGCTTTGAGACAACCCACACATTTCCTTCACATGTGACAAGGACACTAGTCATGATGTTCTCCTGCTCTTTTATGCACTAATAACACAAGAGATAGTGCAGTTCTTGGGAAAAATGGTTGTGAAGAAATCATGGATGTCTTCTGTAAGTTATTTTGCCAGATTATAGTCAAAATTATTTTTGAACTGTGTTGGGAAGGGAGGGAGTTGCCTTTCTTAGTAGGAAAGGAGTAATAAAAATCCTGCATGTCTTTTGACAGATAATAAAATATATTCTTAATAGATAACTTCCAAATATATAACTAATTCCTTACATTTAGAATTCTGGGTTTTTATAGTTATGATATAATAAGATAATCTGTGCAAATTTGCTTATACTTAATATATTTAAGTGTTCAATAAATGTTAGCTTCTGTTTAGGGTTATGATAATATTTTACTGTCAGTAATAAGTTTATTAGTAGTAATAAAAATTGTGGCATTGTACAACAAGCCCATTTATAATCTAAATTGCATCAGATATTTCTTGATTTCTAGATAATGTGTTTTAATCTCAATTTAATACAGTTGTAAGGATTGGGTTATGACTGTTTAACCTCTTTAAAAATTCATTAATCATCACTAATTCTTAGATTCAAAATCCCTATAGTGATCTCTCTATGGTTTTCTGTGATGCCAAGAGTTACTCTTTAAATATGCAAGGATTTCCATGAACTCTTAATTTTGGAAACCAAGTAATTGTGGAGGCTGAATTGGTGGCCATTGCCCTTGAGACTTTTGATAGTTCTGCTGTCCCATCAGCATCAGTCTGCCTGAGATGCTTTCTACTATTTCTGCTTTTCTTTAGGTTAAAGCAGTCCTCATTTTTGCCCCCTGAAGCATCCCTAACATCAGAGGAGGGAAACTACAAAATGCCATGAGATTGCTAGAATATCAAGACATTGGCAGCAGCTTGACATTTCTTTCAAGTTCAACGTTCAGTGATCACATTGTACACCAATTTTACATTCCAGGCCATAACAATCCCAGAGATATTTTCATATCTGAGAAGTGTTTTGATTTATGTAACACCAAGTAAAATTCTCTAACTCCTCCTTCTCTCCCAAGACCTCTACTTGAAGAAATTTTTTGAGCATATTTCTTTAGAAACACCTGTTACAGTACTCGTTAAATACACACAGCACACTAATCCCTTTAAATTGATCAGAGGATCTGAATACCCAATACATCTTATACGAAATGATACATAGGACAAAGGTGCTTGAAAGAGGAGATACTGTATAGGCTGGCTTGTTAAGAGTTTGAGAGGGAGCGTAACAGAGTAGAGAGATGGGTGCTCATTGGCCAGGAGTAATTGCTGTGCATAAAATGGGAAAAAGCACTAAAAATGAATGTCAGGATGGGGGTTGTTAACAATAAACCTCACTCTTTTTACAGTTTTGCCTGGTATGTGTCTTTCCTTGTTCTGATATCCTTGAGCCACAGAACAGAAAGATGACCTTAATTCTTCCTTCTTTAAAGAACAGAAAAAAATTTTACATAAATATTTCAATATAAAAAGTAAAAATTTAAATGTAGAATTAGTCTCTCATTTTGTCTTCTTCTATTAGTTAACAATTGGGTTTCTCTTTCTGTTTCTTTTCTGCCTGTGTGATTCAGCCAAGACGCGTTGTCTCCTGGTTATCAGGAGATGATGTAGTTGTGTTTTCGTGCACTGGCACAAAGTGTTTTCTCCAGTTGGCCATTGTTTTCTGGAGAGAGGGACTTCTGTGTACCAGAACTAGCACAGTCTGGCATGCAGGCCTGGATGCCACCTCTTGGAACTGATGAGACGGCCTTCTGGCTGATTAATTAGATAGATTTCATAACCCGCCTCGGAACAAGGGAAGGGAGAGCACTAGGCATTAGCAGCATCAAGCTGATATTTTTGCATCTTTCACTCTTCTCTTGCAGTTAGGGAAGATGCCAATTTTGCTTTTGTTGCAATTTCAAAATGCTTAATGAAACTTTAAAAACTCAAAGGAAAACGATCTCTTAAAAGTAACACTGAAAATGAGTGTGGATCTGATCTTTTTATTAATAGAGTTTGGTTTTTAAAGGAATCTTTCACTTTGTAAAACCAGCAGCAATATGCCTATCTCTGTAAAACAGACTCTTGCAGATTCATTTTAAACAGATTAGTAAAATTTATATATTAACATTTGTACAGTACCAAGGTAATTCATTATAGTAGCAGACTGTGATACCCGCTTTTCACATCACCTTATAGCATAGTTTACTTGTGATTATCTAAATTACAGACAACTCTTCAACATATTTTCTTTAATCTTTAGCACTGTGAAGAAGGCAGAAGACTATTTTCATATTTACAGAAGAGCCCGTGGCTCAGGGAGAAATTGTTGGAGCTAAGAGCAAAACTAAGATAGCTTGACTTTTGTCCCTGCCAGCATGTCCTTGGTGCACCTGATCTGTCAGACTTGCCACAAGAGCAATGATTTTCTTTACATCTGTGTTGTTTTCATGGGTGAATACATGAAACAATGAATGGGAGGCTCTAATGTGCTTTGGAGAAATTGCACGATTTTCCTTAAAGAGAAACTGTATCATACAGTGGGTAACTAGAGCCAACTGCCGGACTTTATTGAAACCCCTTCTCGACCACATAGCTGTTGCATGACTCTGGGAAAGGGCACCGCTCTGGGCCTTAGTTGTTTGTTTTTTTGTTGTTGTTGTTGTTGTTTCCATCAAGAAACCAAGAATAAGAAAAGTGTCTATCTTTGTAGGGTTTCTCTGACAATTGAATGAATGAACATATGTAAAGCACAAAAAAGAGTGCCTGTACAGAGTAAGCACTTTATATGTATTCTTATTACTATTTAAGAATTGCATTTTTCAGAGTGGATGTGACTTTGTTTTTCACTGCCCCGAGGGTCCTCATCACTGTTCAGAGCTGACTTCTGCTGGCATAGTGAATATTTTTCCCTTAGAAAATCCATCTCTATGTGACAGTGTTCATTTTCTAGTCTTTAGTGGTGTGGGAAATAGGACACTGGACGGAGGTGTTGGTCCAGGTCAGTCATTTCCCAGCTGTGACTTTGGGTCAGTCACTAAACCTCCTCAGGTTCTGCCTCTTTTCTCCTCATGAGAAGGCTAGACTATAAAACTTCCACCTCTGCTTATAAAATCCTGTTCCATGACTGAAGTGATTGGGGTAAGTCCACTTTAACAAAAATATTAGGCAAAGCCATCCTTGTGCATCCCATTCAGTTAAATCCTGTTATTAGAGGGATTTTGCTGTTATTATATAGGTAAGATTGGCAGGTGCTTGTGTAGATTTTGAAGAATTGAATATGTTGCGGCATTTTTCAACATGTTTCATCAGACATCCTGAGGAAAAACCACTCCTCAAATTAAACAGCATCTCATGGAGCACATTGGACAAAATAAGTGACTTATCCTTTTGCCGAGTCTGTGCTTTGTGGAACAACTCTCCAGCCATCAGTGTCAACTCCACATCCTCCCTCACTGTTCCCTGCAGTTCGGGGTCACCTTACCACTGCCGTAAGAATGGAGAGGGAAGAGAGGAAGGACCATTTCCTCTTTCGTCTGTGCCCCGTGGGAGTAGGTTCTGGCTTCTCCACACTTGGTCCATCGGGTGCCTTATACACCTGATCATTATTAACAAAGAAGTAAAATAAGAAATTAAAAAAAGAGAGAGAGAGAGAGAAAGTCTTTCTCAAGTGCTGATGTTCCTGAGAGCAGATGGTTTCCTGTGATCCTCATTTGCTTTTTGTTTTGATCGACATGCTGAGGCTCTGGAGCCCTTTTTTTTTCCCCCATCACCCAGAAGGAAACATTGTCTTTAGGGTGATGGAAAAGACAGAAGGAATGTGGGTAACTAATAATTTACTAAAAGGCAGGTTGCAAGGATAACCCAATATATAAAAACCCAGATTACTAAGCATAATGGAGTGTGATTTACTCTAGAGAAGATGTTTTGCTTTGTAAGCTCTTGTACATTGAGGGGCTGATTTAATTTTCAGTTCTTTAAAGAGGAGCTTCTTTCCTTGTTTTCTCCCAAGCCTAGGAATGCTTGGCCTGGGTGGGACAGGAGTTTCAGCAGTTTCAAAGTCTCAGACCATGGAAAGGGATGGTGCATCATCCTCATAATGCAGAGTAGCAACCCCCTCCCCAGCCCCCATGTTATTTCTCACTGCAGGAATCTCAAGAGGCTACTGGCAACCACAGACCTGATTGGGAAGGAAGGCCCAGGTTGAGGTCCCTGGCTTAAAGAGCAAGATCCTGAACACTGCTAGAAAAAAGCCCAGGGGTATTCCCAGGCTCTGAGGTTCCAGGTCCATTTCCTCACTGAGGAGTAGCACTAATATATAGAGTAATGTCACTCAGGGTACGCCTGGTCCATAACTTTCTTCTTTGGTATATATTTGTCCTTGTTTGTAGGGCCAAGGAGATCTGTTGAAGAACGCCAAGAATGAAGCTGTAGAAAACATGAAGCAGATCCAGCTGGCGTGCCTGTCCTGTGGACTTAGTAAAGCACCCAGCAGTGGTGCAGAAGCCAAGAGCAAACGCAGCCTGGAAGCCATAGAGGAGAAGGAGAGCAGCGAGGAGAATGGGAAGCTGTGACCATGAGCAGTGCCGACACGCTCACCCAGCCTTCGCCCCTCTGGTTTTTCTTTCTGGTTTTCTTTCTTTAAGCTTTTTAGAAGTTCACAAAAAGATGCCCTCTGTGGGGTGTTGGACATAGATATTTTCACAATGTCAGTATTTTAATGTAGTTAATTTATCTAAGTTAAAACCTTTAGTAACGGTGTTTAAAATTCTGAGATGTGTATATACCTATGTATGGATGTGGATGGGAGCGTGTGTGTATGTGTGTGTGTGTGTGTGTGTGTGTGTGTGTGTGTGAGAAAGAGAGAAACAGAGACAGAGAGAGAGAGAGAGAGAGAGGGAGAGAGGACAAAAGAAAGAAAGGAAGAGCCAGAAAGTGACAGAGAGAGGAAAAGAGATTGAGAGAGATCGAGATCCTATGAAAATCTAGTCTATGTTGCATTATTCATTCAGTAGGTCATTACCTTATCATTTTGGGACAAATTTGTTAATCTGAAATTCTAAAGAGCACTTACTATAACCGGTTACTGTGTTTACTTTACTTTGTCATTCAATTTAGAGATTTTAACATAGGTTATTATCAAAGGAAGCCAAATTTACCAATGCATAGATGTTTTGGTAGATTAAATATAGATTAGAAAAATTCTCAAGAATTGCAGTAGAAATAAAAGTGAGTGAAAGATAAACAAATGATCAGAATTTCTGAGGTCAGCAAAATCATTTCTTCAGTTAGAAACTCTTTAAAGTATTCATTAAACCAAATCAATTTTTAGAAAGTTTTTTGATAGTTGTTTAATAAGTGTATGATTTCAGTGGAAAAGCTGATCATAAATGAATTTATATCCACATTTGTGGAACTCTGAAACACAGTGAGAGCTCTGTTGTAATTGGGATTTTAATGTGACATTATTTTCAGTTATAAAATTTCAAGGTTGAGATTTTTTTGGAAGGTCTCATTCTTCCAAACTGGGAATCTAGCATTCATTTTCTATAGTGGACATGAGCAGCTAGGAGGTCTTGTCTTTGATTAAATATAATTTATTGTACTAAATTTAAATTAAAAGACATTGTTCAAACAATACCACAGTATCATGTTGAGCTCATATAAATTCTGTGGGCCAGATAACATCTTTGTGATGATTTAAGAACTAACTGATTATAAATATGATACAATTTTAATACATGAACAAAAACATACACACAAAAGCAAACTAATTAGGGTACATTTATAATTGCATCCAGATAATTTTTACCCTAATATCTTCATAAAGTACTTGAGTGTAATATGTTTGTTACCTCCAGAAGAACTAAATGTTCTATGGTTATGGAAATATATTTATTTAAAACATTGCTTTTATTTTGAAAAGCTTCTTAATTAATTTGATTAACAAATACAACAGTTTTAGGGGAACCTAGGGAAGATAATTGTTGACATTTTGCAAATAGAAGCATCTTCTGTAGCTACCGTGTTAAGTTATTTCTGACTTCTTAACACTATTATGTTCATGTTGCACATTACTGAAAGTAAAGATATGAAACAACACTTTTATTGTTTTCCTTTATTGTGAATTCATTGAAAGAAAAAAATGAAAATAATGGAATATAATGATATTGTATTAAAAATATCTCAAAGGGTATGATATTTCCGTGGACCAAATATGGTGAAATTTCTCCCTGGGTTTCAAACTGGGCACTTGCGGGGGGTTCATGAGCTCATTTTAAGGTAGGTTTCTAATGGTACTACAATTGCCTGAAAAAATTTCTTTACCCTCCATTACACTTAACCTGCACAGTAAAAGGAATAGTAGAATGCAAGTGTCTAAACTCCTTATGATGAAAAGCAGGTGATAGAGACTGAAAAAAATCCATTTTACCTCAGTCAATTTGTTGGTTTCACCTGTGGACCTCTTTACCTCCCTGAATTCTATTCAGAGAAGTCCTGGCCTTTCCTGGTGGTACAGAGAGGTGGGAAGAGAAGATGAAGAGTGAAAACACTCAAAGAATATTATTAATTTTGTTACTTGAGGGTCAAAGCCAATCCTTAAAAGTGGCTTCCCTGGTTTATTCTACTTGTCTTGAAGTTCCACTTACACTTAGAAACTTGCCCAAATGCTCTTGAACTGTTTTTGTTTTTAGTTTAAATAGAGTTTGAAAAACAGAATAATACAAAACACAAGTATTCTTGAGAACATGATGCAGGTTCCACCTCATGTAATGCTACTTCTGGCCATGGGTTGTCTGCCATTCTCTACTCCACTGTGTTGGGTATGATTGCTAGTCAGGGAGTGAGGGGTGGGGCAGGACGAGTGTTAGATTTTGAGAATGGTCTTGCCTCTGGATAGAACAAACAAAACTTTTTACATTATTACATCCTGCCAGTGTCTGTCTTCTTTCCAGACTTGTACTGCAGTAGAAAAATCCTCCTTTTGTCCACTTAGCTTTCAGCAGTACTAGGAAGATAATGGTAGATATTATTTCTGTTTTTGTTTATTAATTTTTACATTGCCAATTAATTTACATTAGTTTTGAAGCACAGATGGTAGACATCATCGCTGACAGAGCCACTGATAGAGTAAATGGAAGAATCGACTTTGGATTCTGGTTTGTCTGATTTTATGTGCAAGAGTATTGGTTCAGTGGTTTTGATTTTCAGTTTAATTCTCATAATTTTAAACTAAAGTACTAACTCTTTCCCTTATAACCAAAAATGAAAGGAACGTTATTGTATTCTTTGATAGTAAAACGCTAATGATCAATATTAAACACGCAAAAACAGATCTGTAAAACAATCACCCCCATTAACATTTAGATTTATACCCCTTCAGACACTGAGCATGCTTTGATTATCCATACATCTAAATATGCTTTGATTTTTAAGAAAAGTGAGATTACATTATATAAAGTGTTTTTGTAATAATCTTTTTACACAATAAAGACAATACATCATGGATCACTTTTTGTCAATAGATCTATATGTACATGGGGGCTCTCAGCCTTTGAATTGAATCTAGTATGCGAATAAAGTATTTTATTTGGTCACTGAATCTTTTTCAAAAAATTTTAAATAATAGGCAATTTTCAAAAATCCAGAAATTTCACATCAAAGTTTAATTTCCCCTTCTAAACGATTGGGTATTCTGATGACACTAGATACCCTTCCACACCTCTCCACATCTTATTTGTCATCAATTGAAGCCACCTTCTCCAAGAGGAGCATGTGCTGCCCAGTTTGCCAAAGAGCTTCTTCTCTCATTTATGTCACTTCCTGACTCTGTAGATGTCTTAGGTGGAGATTCTTGATTTAAATTAGTGTTAGTGTCTTATTGTGTGGATTATCATAACAAATTTAGCCAATCCCCTGTTTTCTCTCCCAATTTCTTGTTATGTAAACATTGCAGTGATGAAATCCATTTGTTCAAAGTGGTTCTATTTTTTTCTTTAGGATAAATTTCTAGAAGGAGAATTGTTGGGTCAAGGATACATAGATATTTTAAGGATTTTGAGATACGTTACAAAATAGCTTCCAAAAAATGTATCCAATTTCAATTCCCACTAAGAATTTGTGGGAGTGCTCAAATCTTGGCTAATACTAAATTTAATTATTTATTATTGTTATTTATATGTTTGCCAATCTGCTAGATTAAAAATTTTTATTTCTTTTTATGTCTACTCTCTAGTGAGAGTGAACACTTATTAGTATGTTCATTGACTATGGATAATATATAGATAGTTATGAGTTTCCTGATCATTTTTGAGTGGGGTGGTAGCTTTTAATCTTTTTATTATTATTTTTAAGAAGCATTTACTTAATAAGAATCTTAACCCTGTGTTTTTCATATATATTACCAATGTCTTTTGACATAATTTAATCCAAATTATGATTTTTTCCATTATGATTAGTGTTAAGAGAATTTTGTCCATCTATGCTCATGAAAATATACTCCTACATTACTTTTCACATTTCACATTAAATCTATAATCCTCTTAGCTTTGCTTTTTTGTGTATAGAATAAGTTAGAACAAATTCATTTGTTCTAAACGTGGATAATCAGTTGACCCAGCTTATTTACTGTACACTGTCCTTTATCCATTCTTCTGTAATGCCATCCTTGTAAAAAATGAAGCACCCATGTATGTGTGTCTATTTCTGGAATCTCTGTTTGATTCTGTTGGTCTGTGTCTGTTCTGGCAACATTACTGTGCTGTTCTAATTATGATAGCTTTATAATGTTTTTGTATCAGAGAGAGTAGGCCTCCCCACTTTTCTTCAACATTTCCTCTTTGCATTTCCATATGTCCATTTCTATTCGGTACCTTCTGGAACTTTTATTGGTATTACACTGAATGGATATATCATTTTGGGGAGTTTGGACATAATTCACATTATTGAGTATTCCAATCCATCTGCATGGCATATTATTCCATTTATTCAGGTTTTATTTAATTTCTCTTAATACAGTTTTATAGATTTCTTTATAAAGTTCTTACAAATCTTTCAGTATTCCTAGGTATTTGACATTTTTCATGCTATTAGAAATAGCAACGCTTTCAAACTTAAGTTTCCAAATTGTATATAAAAATATAATAGCTTGTTTTGTAATGATCATGTGGACTATCAAGTGAACTTGCTGAACTATTTGTTGATTTTAATTGTCTATTTATTATTTTGGACTTTATAGGTACAGATTATGTCATATACAAATAATGGCAGTTTTATCTTTTCTCTTCTGATCTGTATGCTTTTTACTTGTGTTTTTTATCTGCTTTTCTTGATTTGTAGAACTGGTTAAAACCTTCAGTATAATATTCAGTAGAAATGATGTTAGTAAACATCCTTTCTCCTTCCCAGTCTCAGAGGAATTTTGCAGTATTTCAACATTATATATGATGTTTACTCTGATTCTGGTATCCTGGTAGATTCATTGGGGAATAAAAAAAAATTTAAATACATATATATATATATATATTTAGTGAGATATATATAATAGTGAGATATATATACATATATACATATATATATGTATATATAACTATAAAACCATTAGAAGA